AGGGAGGGAGGGAGGGAGGGAGGGAGGAAGGAAGGAAGGAAGGAAGGAAGGAAGGAAGGAAGGAAGGAAGGAAGGCAGGAAGGCAGGCAGGCCATGCACTGTTTAGCTGAAAAACAGAGACGTGACCATCATTTGGTTTGATACACGAAGGCATCTGTGACTTCTGAAGTCACTGTGGGGCTACCCAGACCTGTCCTCCCATCACCTCGTGCATTTCTGAACATAACTTTACACCACTGAATAGCCATCGGAAAGGGCTTACTTCCAAACCTTCAAGGCACAGGACTCCACTATGAATCTGATCACAGGTTAGTAATAATTACAAATCTCCTTTCTGTTTGGGAGTTTTTTAGTATTTTTATTTATCATATGCATGTGCAGGCACCTGCAGGTCTCCTGGATCAAACTCCACTCACCAGGATTGTGTGACTAGTCCTTTTTACCTGCTGAACCATTTCCCTAGCTCTGTGTTTTGTTTTTTGAGACAGGTTTCATGTACCCCAAGCTGGTGGACAGCTTATGCGGTTATAGAACTCAGGGCTTCCTGCTGGACAAGTAGTTCAGCTACATTCCCAACCCTGTGATACATCTCTGGATTGAAAGTTTTCAAGCCTAGAACTTTTTAAATATGACAAGTTCTCTGTTCTCTTTTCTTTGTTCTTCCCTCTTCTTGAGCTGACTCAGTGACTCACTCTGGAAAGTGCAATGAAGCAGAAGTGACAGTATGGCTTGTACCAGTGGGCCATGGAAGGCATCTGGGATTGCCCTCATTTACAATGCTGAACCAGTGGCTCTGGGGCAAGTCAGATGCCAGGTTATGAAGAAATCCAAACAGCTACCTGCAGGTCAAGACACATGGGGCAAAACCACCTGACTGAGCCCAGGAAGAACATCTAGCTCCAGGGAAGCCCTTGGACAACTTCACCCCGACAAAAGACTTGTAACCTCAGAAGTCCAAATCAGCCATCTACCCAACTCCCAAATTCCTAATCCAGCAAGATAAAAATGATCAATGCTTCTTATGAATACCTACATTTCAAGGAATCTGGTACACAGCAACATAACAAAAACAAAAAGTGGACATCTTTAAACAATGACCGCTTGTGTGAGCTGAGCACCTATGGGGTCCACACAGTAAAAGAACAAGGATTTGAGCTGGGCAGACGCACACCTTTAGTCCCAGGAATCAGGAGGCAGAGACAGAGGTGGGCAGATACTCTGTAAGACTGAACCCAGCCTGATCTACACAGTGAGTTTCCAGGCCAGCTGGGACTACAAGGAGACCCAGTCTCAAAAAGATCCAAAGAAATAAGGATGTTAACACAGAGAAAAATATCAAGACATAACACAAGGAAAAGAAAGATGGTAACCATGGCAATAACAGACAAGTGTGTGTCTGGAAGTCCTGCAAGTCCATTTCTGGTGAGTTATGAAGGGGCTCTAAGCAAAATCGAGTCTCAGATCTGAAACTGTATCAGCACTACTCAGACAGAAGAGGTTTACTTCTTCTCCCAACACACACTGCTTAATCTCTTTTAAACAAACCATCTAAAAAAAGTTCTGAAAGATATCATAAATTATAGAAACATAAAATCTAAGCATTTGAGGCTGGAGCAATTGCTCAGCACCAGCTGCTCTTGGAGAGGACTGGGGTTCGGTTCCCAGCACCCATACAGTGGCTAACAACTGTCTGTAACTCCAGTTCCACGGCATCTGATGCCATCCTCTTCTGTGGGCACTGCATGGCACAAGTACAATTACATACATACAGACAATACACTCATACACACATAAAAACAATTAAAAAAAAAAAACATTTGTTTATATAAATCAACTCATGAAAAGTTGAAATAGAAGACAATAAAGACACAGAAAGGAACATGGTGGCTACCAGAGACTGGAGAGAAGGCACAGGGGGACTGTTTACTCACTACAGAGTTCAACAACTCTGCAAGGTAAGGCAGGCTCTGGAGACCAGTTGTTCAGAGTCAATGTGCTTAATTCCACATTGAACTTTTCATTGTGCACCAGTGGCTGAGAATTTACCCAGCATGAGCAAGGCCAGAAGTTTGGGATTCTGGGTTCATACCAGCATCACAGAAAAGAAAAATGAAAACAGCCGGGCGTGGTAGCACACGCCTTTAAGCCAAGCACTTGGGAGGCAGAGGAAGGTACCTCTCCCTGAGATCAAGGCCAGCCTGGTCTACATAAGAGTTCTAGGACAGCTAGAGCTACAGGGAGACCCTGACTCATAAAAACAAAACCTACCCTGCCAGAAAAGAGAAATGAAAGGAAAGCAAAATAAAACAGAAACAAAACACCCAAATTGGCAAAGACACCCCACTGTCCAAGAGTAGACACACCTCACACACTTACCTCCTTTTTAGGCTGACTTTCTTTCCTTCTTTTCCATCTTCTCTTTGGAGGAGACAAGTTCTCAGTAGACATTTCATCCTCTGAACTACTACAGAAGCGTGTTACTCGTCGACGGTATGACATTCGTAAAGGAGGCTGCAAGTTGATTCCTGTGTCAGCTGTCCAATCAGAGTACCGAGAGGAAGAGTCACTGGAAGAGGAGAATGCTTTTAAATGTATGGGACCAGGATTTAAATACTAGCAGCAAGTTCAGCATATATTCCTGAGAAAAGGGACAGAGCAAGGAAAAAGGGACGGAGGTCCCAGTGACAGCTGGCCTAAACGTCCTGCTGACACAACCAACAGAGACCAAAAGGTGGAAAAAGAAAAATCTTCAGTGCTGGGAACATGGAAGGAAGGCTGTAAGCCACAGGAATTTTTTAAGATGACCCTGCATAATCCCTGCGTGATCACTAGAAGAGATTGTGCATGCTAGGCAAGCACTCTAGCACCTGAACTCCATCTCCAGCCCTTTTCTCTTTGTACACTACAGATGAGAGCTATGAAGACTTGGCCTACAGCCAACAAATAACTCCCCTTCAGAAAACAAAGCAGTTACTGGAAAACATTATTCAAACCCTGAGAGGAGCCTCAACACCTCCAAAATGCTAGAGGAGGCTGGGTATGAAGTAATCACTTTAAGTAGCATCATAATCCATCAACGGAAACACCAAGAAACCCAAGGGAAACATACTCAACACGAAATAGAAATCTGTAACTCAAGTCTTCCCAAGTACATGACTCTCTCTGACATGCTGGAAATCCAAATAAAGAGTGACCTCAGGCCAGGCACAGTGGTATACACCTTTAATCCCATCACTCTGAAGGCAGAGGCAAGTGGATGGCTCTGAGTTTACAGCAAGGCTGGTCTACATAAACGAGTTCCGGGCCAGGCAGGGCTGCACAGTGAGACCCTATCTCAAAAAACCAAAAAAAATTTTTTTGAAATTAACCTTAGCGACACCCTGGAACATACAAGCAAGCCAGAGGGAAAGTAGAGACGAAGAGCAGTCCTCGGCCCACAATCAGCTGAGTAAACACAACCAGGGTAAGAGAGGTTCCACTGGGGCCACTGTCGGCCACGCCAACACTTCAGTCTCTAACCAAATCCTCAAGAGCACACTTCTCAAAGGGAGTGTTAAAACAGTTATAAACTTCTAAGAGTATCTGCTTTATACAAATAAAAAACACGAAAAGTTTAAATAAAAGACAATGAGGCCAAGTGTGGTGGCGAATGCCTTTAATCCCAGCACTCGGGAGGCAGAGGCAGGCAGATCTATGTGAGTCCAAGGCCAGCCTGGTCTACATAGTGGGTTCCAGGCCAGCTGGGGCTACAGGGAGACCCTGCCTCAAAAAGACCCAAAGATGACACAACTGAATTTTAAAAAGTAACATGGTGGTCACCAGAGGCAGAGGAGAGGGTATATATAGTGGCGCACTGTTTGAGTGTAACAGCACTGAAGATAAACAGGGCTGTGCAGACTGGTTGCTAAACAAACTCAATGTACTTAACAGTACTGAATGACACAGTGAAACTGGTTAACATTTCACCACAATTCAAAGAAAACTCTTAAGAACAATGAGTAAAACTATGTTCTAAGACACTACTGAGCTCCCAGTCAAAGGGAAGCAAAGGAAGACCAGAAAAGAGGACAGAAGGAGCACACCTGGATGGTTTAAGCTGACAGAGCACCATGAAAATAGACAACAAAGACTACACAGCCTGAGTAATGTGGAGATGGGTTAGGTTCTGGGCACAGTGATGCAGTTTGTGTAGAAAAAAGAGAAACCTGTATCCAGGTTTCTGGCCCAATCATCTACCAAGATGAAAACACTAGCTAACACTCTGGTCATCCTGAAATCTGAGTCCTAAACTAAAAATTTACACATGTAGTAATATAGTATAATGACTTCACCACACTTACTTTTAAAATGCAGTTTAAGACAACATTAATACTTTTAGTACGTGTTACTAAACACTACTGGTCAAATGCTATAGTTAAAACACTGAGGGTATTTTTAGAGTCTAGTGTTAATCTAGTATTACTTTTCTTTCAATTACAAACCTTTGCCTCTTAAATGCAAACAGGGTTTCCATCCAAAACTATGCCTAAAGTGCTTACAAGAACAAAGCAAAAACAGGTACCTTGAACTTTCGCTGTAACTTTCACTTTTTCTATCACTTTTCCATTCATCATCCTCTGAAGAACAAGAGCCTTCACTCTGATCACAGGATGTCTCCTAAGTTGCAAAGGAGAAAAGAAAAGTCTTGATCCCATAGGTAACATGTCAGAAAAACTGATCAGTCATCCTAATACAACCATAACACCTAAGAAATAAATAGAATAATTAGTGAAAATCCAATTAAATAAACTCAAAGACAGCAGTTACTAAATCCTTAGGGTGGGGTTGAGAGGTCTCATGAAGCTCAGATAGCAGAGAATAGCCTGGGGCTCCTGCTCCTCCTGCCTCCACCTCTCAAATACTGAGATCTCAGGTACTGAACACCATATGCCTGGCTTCTCATACTTCTTTTCATCAAGGTTATCTGACAAAGTATTTGTGAGAGAACACTACCACTTCCTGGAAAGAAAGTGATGCAACAGACAGTTTCAACAACAGTTTCTCTGGAAGAAATTAACATAAAATGAAGATGACTTCAGTGTTTGGGACTTTAGCTGATGTAAGGGGTATGCAGTGGTATCTCACTGTTGTTCCGCTTTTGACTCCAATAACTCGATGATCAGCACCTTTCCACACAACTAGTTACCAACTGTGTGTCTTCATTGATGAAGTGACTGTTTGATTTTCTTCCCCATTTGGAAAATGGGAAGTTTCCTTATTGTTCAGTTTTAAGAGTACTTACACATATTTACTACAAGTCTTTTGTCAACAGATTTGCAAGTATTTTTCCCTATTTGTGGCTTGTCTTTTAATCTGTTTAACAGTATCTAACAATTTGAGTACTGCATGTAAAAATACATTCCCAGACCTAAGGACACCTAGCTTCTATGAGTTAGCTCTGCCAACTTTCACAGCTGTGTTTCATATTTACACGAACTTTAAGATCCATTGTGTGTTATTTCCCCTCCCCTCACAGACAGGACCTCACTGTGTGGCCTAGGCTAGCATCAAAGTCACAATCCTCTTTCTTCAAGTCTTGAGTGCTGGGTACAGATATGTACCAGTAGTCCAACCTTGAGTTAATTCATATGAAAAAAAGTGTTGGTTACAGATACACTTTGTGGCGTGGATACCCAGCTACTCCATCACCATTCACTGAAAAACTGAGTTGCATTTGCTGAAGATCAGTTAATTGTTCATCTCTCTCTAGACTAAAACTTCCCCAAACGACCTGTCTGCACTTCTACCAGTACCACTGTGTGGAAAACTACATACTTGTGGCAAGGAGTGATGGTGTACACCTTAAACCCAGCGCTCTGTGAAGTCTACATAGCTTCTACATAGCAAGTTCCAGGACCAAAAAAAGGGGATGGGGGATGGGGTGGAGAGATGGCTCAGTGGTTAATAGCACTGGCTAATCTTGCAGAGGACCTGGGTTCAATTCCCAGCACCCACATGGTGGCCAACAATCACCCACAGCTCCACTTCCAGGGGATCAACACCCTCTTCTGACCTCCAAGGTCACTGCATGACACGGGCACACTTACATGCAGGCAATACAGGCATACACATAAAATTTTTAAAAACCACACACAACACACCTATACCAAGCCATAATGTGAGGCAGTATAAGTCCTTTAACTTTGTTTTTCGGTAATTTTATATTAGCTATCCTGAATTTTTTTCCTCTCCGTCTAAACTTTAAAAATCAGTTTGCGAATAGCCCTCAAGTTCAAAGCCAGCCCAGCCTAGCAATCCTGTTCTCAGATAGACTGATAAATACCAGTTTCTGAAAAGAAAATATCAAGCACAAATTATATGTATTAAAGGTCAAGCAAAAAAATTAGACAGACTTCTCTTTTTTGGTCTTTTTTTTTCTTAATTTTATTATTCTTATTTTATGTGTATGAGTGTATTGCCTGCATGTATGTGAGTGCACCCGTGTCATGCAATGCCGCGGAGGTCAGAAGAGGGCTTCGATTCCCCTAGAACTGGAGTTAAGGACGGTTCGTAGCCACCATGCGGGTGCTGGGAATCAAACCCGGGTTCTCTGCAAGAGCAGTCAGTGCTCTTAACCACTGAACCATCTCTGAAGCACTTTTTTGGTCTTGTTTGAGACAGGGTCTCCCTGTAGCCCCAGCTGGCCTGGAACTATGTAGACCAGGCTGGCCTTGGACTGGCAGAGATCCACCTGCTTCCTCCTCCAAGTGCTTGGATTAAAGGCGTGCGCCACCACACCAGCTTAGACAGACTTCTTAAATGCAGCATTGAAAGCACAAGTGATGAAACAAAAACTATCTCAGCAAATTTAAAACCCTTATGTTCCAAGGACACTATTAAAAATATAAAGACAATCCACAGAATGCAAAAAACAAAAATATTTTCAAGTAATATAGCTGATAAAGAACACATTTAAAACCTATAAAGAACCCAGGCAGTAGCAAAGACAAGACGACAAATTGAAAGTGGGCTACAGATCAGACTTTGTATCATCAAAGAAATGGAAACGTAAAAGCAGGGCTGGAGAGATGGCTCAGCAGTTAAGAACACTGGTTGTTCTTGCAGAAGACCTGGGTTCAAATCCCAACACCCACACGGCAGCTAACAACTGTCCATAACTCCAGTCCCAGGGGATCCAACAGCCTCTTCTGACCTCCGCGGGCATTGCACGACATGGGTGCACTTACCTACATGCAGGTAATACAGGCATACACATAAAAAATAAAATTAAAAAAAAAAAAAAGCAAACGAACATGTTTATCATTTGTAAGAGTCGTGTAGGACTGTCATCCAACAGACACCATCTTCCTGAGCTCAGCTGCACTTCTTGCCTAAGCTAGCCTGATTAACTATGCATGCTCAACACCCCCCATGACTTTGCATGGAAGAAGGGGCAGGGACCCTCACCAGAGTCCAGCCATACCTCCCAACCTGAATGTTCAGCCATACTTCCTAACCGGTCTAGTGACTTCAATCCCATGTGGGCTGGGGAGGGGCTAGAGTACACAGACCAGGGAAAACTACAGGAGGGTCTCTCACCATTTTGTGCAGTTATGAGGAAGCCACACATCCATGCTTAGGTGAAGACTTTCCCAGTCAGGGGGTTAGCACCCATGCTCCTATAAGGAAACACCCGGTGCTCTGTACTTAAGCCCAATCACTGGCTTCCCAGAGAGCAGTTTGGTGAAATGGTACCTTGGTTTATCACTGGTACCTTGGTTTATCACTGGGGCCAAAGGGGGGAAGGGGAAAACATTTACACCCCAGCCCCCAATGAATTTTAGCAATAGTAATGATTAGAGAAATGCAAATGGGAACCACAACATGCTGCTCACTGCCCACAAGGAGCTTAACTGAAGAGCAGACATTAGGTTGGAGAGGTGGCTCAGCAGTTAAGAGCCCAAGTACATGCTCTTGCAGAGGAACAGAGTTCAGGGCCCAGCACCCATGCCAGGCAGCTTACATTGCCTTTAACACCAGCTCCAGAGGATTCCTAAGCCTCAGACCTACTCAGGCTCCAGTAGTCAGGTACACATACCCACACACACACATAACTAAAAAATAATTTTAAAAAACTAAATAAAATAACAACAAAAACCAGACAAAATACACAGAGCTAGAACACAGGCTTCACAGGATGAAACAAAGTGGGATGAGTGCCTTGGAAACAGTTTGGCAGGTCCTCAAACATCTGCCCGATGACCAGCAAATGAAGTGCAGATGAATGTTGATGAGCAGCATTACAAGTAACAACCAAAAAATAAGGAGACTGACTCCCCACCAGGTGATGAATGGATAAATGAGACACTGGAGAGATCAGCACACTTGTCTATCACTGGGCAAAGAATAAAATATTTATACACGGAAACAGTATGCTACAAGTAAAAAAAAAAATTACTGTATGATTGATTCCAGAACGTGCGTACGTACAGAAGGGGTTGGGAAAATGGATACAGGGTTTTTCATTAGTGATGAAAATGGTTAGAAATTACTGTTGATAATGACAACCCCATCAAATAATTAAAATTACTGTGTTATACACTATATTTCAATAAAACCTATTGCTAGGAGTGGACAGATGGCTCAGTGATTAAGAGCACTGGCTGTTCTTGCAGAGGACCAGGGCTGGATTCCCAGCACCCACATGGTGGCTGACAACTGTTAAGGTTCAGATAGCCCTGCCCGCTCACCAACAGGATCCCAAGGACTTCTCATGCTCCTGAGAAAAGGGAACCTAGCTGATAAGAACCTTGGTCTTTGAAGTCAAGAGAAGCAGATTTTCTCCACTGTTTGGCCAACACAGCAGGCTTCCCCTTTGATCTCTAAAGAGGACAGGTTTTAACAGTCCTGCTCTCCCACTCCCCCCTCCCCCTGACCCAACTTTAAAAAAAATACATCTTCCCGCCTTCTGCAGGAAGCAGAAGCCTCCCTTTTAAAAAAAACCCCAGCTCAAGACCCGGGCAGACATTTTCCCTGCCTGTAAGGGAATCTGCTCCATGTGTTTCTTTACTAATAAACCCTATTTTGATAGAGTTTTAGCTGTGCCTCTGCGCCTCATCATCCATTCGCTCCTTCTCCACCAACTTTTTACCTATCAACAACCATCTGTAACTCAAGTTCCAGGGGATCCAACACCCTCTTCTGACTTGTGAGGGTACTGCACAACATGGGTACACTTACATACATGCAGACAATATACTCATACAAATAAAAGATTAATTTTTTTTTTAAAGGTATTGATGGGGCTAGAGAGATGGCTCCACGGTTAAGAGCACTGGCTACTCTTGCAGAGGACCCCAGTTTGATTCCCAGAGACCACATGGCAACTAACAACTGTAACTCCAGTTCCAAGGGATGATACCCTCTTCTGACCTCCAAGGGCATTGCCAACACAGGTGCACTTACACACAGGTGATACACTCATACACATAAAATAAAAATAAAAAATATAAATTAATTTTTAAAAATTAAAAAATAAATAAAAAACTTAAAAAGCTGTTGCTAAAATGTTCAGCCAAGCCAGACAAGGGTACACATCCTTAACACCAGCAGAGACAGGTTAATCTCTGTGAGTTCAAGGCCAGTCTAGTCTACACAGAGTTCCAAGTCAGTCAAGACTATATAGTGAGTCTCTATCTCAAAAAAATTTTTTTTTAAATATTCCAGACAAGCATACTGGCAATCCCAGTCTCAGAAAGCTAAAGCCCAAGGCTAACAAGGCCAATCTGGGATACACAGCAAGTTCCTATCTCACAACTTAAAATAAAAATAACAAACTCAAAGTCAGAGCAGAGGTATGTGCCTGTAGTGTCAGACACTTGGGAAACAAAAATTGCTGGTGCTCAGAACTCCAGGTCAGCCTTTGTAGGCACAGTAAAACCATGCTCTCAACATCCCTACTGAGTCAAAAACAAAACTGTGAAATTTCACCTTTATTTCCGTGTTGTTATGTAAATTTGAAGTAGATTCAAAAATAAAGACTTAAGACTGGACTACTGAGATAGCTCGGGACATGGCACTTGCCACCAAGCCTAAACACCCTGATGTCCAACCCTAGCACCCACATGGTATAGAAAGAGTAACTCCTGCAGCCTGTCTGCTAAAAGAAAAAAAGAGAAGGAAAAAAAAAAAAAAAAAAAAAAAAGGGCTGTAAGCAGGGCTGAGGAAAGATTTTGTACCTGCAAAGGATTAGCGCTACTTGAAACCTAGTAGCACAGGCTGAGAATTCCAACTACTTGTGAAACAGGAAGACTTTAAGTCCAAAAGCACACCTGCACAACTTAGGGAGATCCTGCCTCTAAATAAAAAAATAATTTCAAAGGGGCTGAGACTACCTCAGATGGCTTGTCTATCAAGCATAGGGTTCTGCGCACACACACACAGGTTCATATAGAGTGATCCTACCAAGTTCTGCTACTCACGTGTCTTACAGAACCTGACGATTCATCTCCAGAAGATAATTCACACCGGCCAGTATTTCTTCTCCTGTAATTTGGATATTTACGTCTACACGTCCGTTGTCTAGACTGTGACACCAAAACCACCGAATTTGACTAAAACAAAGAAACATTAGCATTATCCACAAAATGGGCACTGTATTGGGTTCACAAAAAAAGATTTAAGGAGGAAAAATGACTTCAAAGTAATTTTTCCAAATGCTGTGAACTCAAAGTTGGCACTTTTACTCTCCGGTTCCTTAGGATGACTTTGTCAGACAACAGAACTACGTTCTTCACACTGTCTTCCAGAAATAGGATACATCATCAGGCTATAGGTGGAATTCAGTTGGTAGAGTGCTGGCTCAGTATGTACAAACCCTGACACTGACCTTATGATCTTACATACCAGATAAGACCTTAAGTAACTGTACTTTAGTAGAGTTACTGCTATGCTGATAAATCAAAAAGGATACTGAATTTTATTACCTGCTTATTCCTAAGAAAATAAAATTTAAGGCAGGCATGGTGGCACATGCCTTTAGTCCCAGCACTTGGGAGGTAGAGGCAGGCGGATCTCTGTGAGTTAAAGGTCAGCCTGGTCCACATAAGGAGTTCCAGGTCAACTGGGGCTACAGGGAGACGCTGTCTCAAAAAGACCAAAAGAAAAGAAAATTTAAGTACCTTTTGTGAGAGCTGAAAAGTCTTTTTCCTTCCGATTATATAAAGATTTCTCTCCTCTTCACCCCTCTCTATTCGAAAGTCTTCCAACTTCCTACAAAATTAAATACCCAGTTATGGTAGTTCTTGAACTGATATAAAAAGTAAACATTGGGCCAGGCGTGAAGGCGTAGGCCTTTAATCCCAGCACCCGGGAGGCAGAGGCGGTGGATCTCTGAGTTCAAGGCCAGCCTGGTCTACATAGTGAGTTCCAGGACAGCTGGAGCTATAGGGAAACCCTGTCTCAAAAAGACCAAAAAGAAAAGTAAACATTAAATCATTATTTTAAGAATCCTAAGTTTATAAAACTTTTAAATTATCACATAAAATTCTTCAAGTTAAAACTAACAACTGGGCATGGTACTTATAATCCCAACATTTCAGGGGATGGACGGGAGTGCTGGTGAAGCTCAAATCCAGTCACTGAACCCTCCCCCACAAAGAAACTCTAAATGAAAATGTCCCCCATTGGCTCCAATTATTTGGACATTTCTGTCCCCAGTTGGTGGCACTGTTCTTAGGACATGTTAGGGGGTGTGGCCATGCTAGAGGAAGCACGGAACTGACGGCTGGCCTGAAGAGCCAGTCTGCGGGATCTCCACTCATGCTCTGCTTCTTGAGCACTGCAGTTTCTGCTCGGGCCACCTCTGCCACCATGCCTCCCCACCATGTTGGACTCTGATTCCTCTGTAACTGTAAGCTCAAATAAACTTCTTTTTATGAATTCCCTCGCTCACAGTGGTTTATCACAGCAACGGAAAGTAAAAGTAACACTCAAAGGAAGGAACAGATGTCTATACAGAGGAAACCGGGTGGGAGTGAGATCTGCTGCTGTGACGATGCTGAAGAGTGAATCTGTCTCTACAGTGCAATGGACTCTCACTCATCACTAAAATGATTTTGTGTGTGTGTGTGTGTGTGTGTGTGTGTGTGTGTGTGTTTTACTGAGCTTCTGTATTCTCATACAACAGTTCTCAATCAAACCCAGACCCCCTCCCCCAACTAAAATGATTCTATATAGAGCTAATAGAAGAAAAGATGTGTACATAATTGCATCAACACATTTTTGTAAACAATGTAAACAGGTATCCTATAACTAACCTAAATATGCCTAGTGGCACCTCTGGTACAACCACTCTTCTTTTCCAAGCCTGCAGGTCACGTTCTGTAGCAATCTGACTCCGTGGAGCATTTTGATGCATTTGACGAACACCTTCAACCTGCCCGCTGCGACGCAGACCAATGTTGGGAGGAGACTGAATGTCTAAACTCAGTCTTCTAAAACCTAGGAAAAATCATCAAGCAGTGATTCCAAAATAATTCAAATTATTATCCATTTAACATACAATAAAAATACACTACTCTTACTAGGATACATATAAAAATCAATAAAGACACTGAAAAAACTTACAAGAAAAATCTTAAAATGACTAAAATAAAAATGTGGAATACTAAACAAATAATTGATAAACCTCAACTTCAATTTTTACTAGACTCAAAAACTGTAATGTACAAATATTTTCTATTATTTTTAGACACCTTATTTTTGGGGCACATCTGCATTGAAGATAGAATATTCAAAATGAGATGTTTCTGTAACAAGAACAATGCTGTGATCTCAGCTTCTAGACAGGCAACTGACAAACTGGCTCTTAGTTCCCAGCACTCTGGTCAGGCAGCAAAAACCCATTTTCAGCTCCAAGGAATCTGACGCCCTCTTCTGGGCCCAAAGGGCACCCACACACACGGCAGACATTCACAGACACAGGAATAAAAATAAAAGCAGGGGCTGGAAAGGTGACTCAATGTTTAAGAGAGGTGGCTGCCCTTGCAGAAAACCCAGGTTCAGTTTCCAGCACCCTCATGGTGGCTAATAACCACCCTTAACTCTAGTTCCAAGGAATATGACACCTTTGTCTGGCCTCCACAAACCCTGCATGCACCTAATATACATGCAGGTAAAACACTCATACATAGAAAAGAAAAATAATTTTTTTTTTTTTTTTTTTTGGTTTTGAGACAGTCTCCTTGGAGCCCCAGCTTTCCTAGATCTCACTATGTAGACCAGGCTGGCCTCGAACTCACAGAAATCCGCCTGCCTCTGCCTCCCAAGTGCTGGGATTAAAGTTAGCGTGTGCCACCACGCCCAGCTAAAAAATAAAATTTTAATTCACATAACAAATGCTATGGTCTGGCAGTGCTGGTACTGAAGCTCAGCAAGTGGGTGCTAACAAGGCAAAAAGCAGCAAAGTTCTGAGCCTAAGGGACCCAGAAGGCAGGGCAACCTTCCACAGCCAGAGGCTACAGAGGCTAAAGAATGGCCCTGAAGAAGTCATCTTAGGCAAAGTGCTGAGTCTCTAAAAGCGAGGTAAGGGTGTTGGGAGATGGCTAATCGTAAAGTGTCTGCTATACAAGCACAAGAACTAGTGTCCCACCCCAGGACCCTCATAAAAAGCTCAGACATTGTAACCTTGTACTCCCAGAGGAACAGACAGCTTACTGAACAAGCCCTAGGTTCCCTAGCGTTACCTTGTCTCAAAAAAACAAAGCGAACTGTCCCTAAGAACAGCACCCAAGTTTGACCTCTAGCCTCTGCCTGCACACACACACCATCTGCACAAAACACCCAAAAAAACAATACAAAACAGAAACCATGTGCTACGAGGGTTCCTGTTTGAGAAGTAGAGGCATTTTCAACAGACAGGAAGCTATCACATCAAATGCTACTCCAACTACATTAGTTCTTGCCAAAGTAAAAACTTCACAAGAGTGGACACAACTCCTGCATTCTACATGACACATTCTACGTTCTATGTTCCAGTCATGTGTGATAGTTAGCTTGGTACACTCTAGACTCACCTAGGAATAGTGTCTCAGTGGGGGACAGTCTGGATCAGGTTGGCCTGTGGGTATCTGTGGGAGGCTGTTTTGATGACCTTACTTGATGCAATAAGGCCCATTCCAAGAGTGAAGAAAGTGAGCTGAGTAGAAGGCAGGCAGACACTGATTCTCTGCTCTGGGAGGAGATGTCACATGACTAGCTCATCTAATTTCCTGAATCCTTGACACCCCTAATGGGCTAGGATAAACCCTTTCTCCCTGGGGATGCTTTCTGTCACAGTGTCTGGTCATGGCAACAGAAATGTGCCTTAGTCTGTACTATAAACACACTACACTTTAACATACATCTGTGTTAAAGTATGCTGGGCTAGGAATGTATCTCAGTGACAGAGGCCTTGCCAAGCATGTATGAAACATGGAGTTCAGTTTGCCAGCACTACAGAAACACAAAAATTAAAACTTAACACATATTGAAAAAGACATTGGAGTTGAGAGGATGAATACTTTTAACATTTTTTTTTTTTTATATGTATGCGTGTATTGCCTGCACGTAGGTAAACTGCACCCATGTCATGCAATGCCCACGGAGGTCAGAAGAGACTGTCGGATCCCATGGGACTAGAGTTACAGACAGTTGTTAGCTGCCATGTGGGTACTGGGATTCGAACCCAGGTCTTCTGTAAGAACAACCAGTGCTTGTAACCACTGAGCCATCTCTCCAGCCCCAAGAGAAGATGAATTCTTAATCTATACACTTAAACTCATAGTGTCAGCTGAGTATGGCAGCGCGCACTTCTAATCTTAGCACCCAGGAGGCAGTGGCAGGCTGATCTGTGAGTTCAAGGCCACCCTAATCTAAATAGAGCTCAAGGTAGGTCAGGGCTGCACAGCGAGACCCTGTCTCAAAAAAAATTTAAGTCATGGTGTAATTCTCAATGATTTGAAAACAAGCATGTCATTTATTGCAACGTTACTTACGACTGAAAACTGAAAGGAATAATCTAAATGCCCACAGTTTATAAAGGTTATTAGTTTTCCTACACATGGAAGTTATAGAAAAGGAAGAAGAGGGTCTGAAGACCCTAGCATGCACATGGTGACTAACAACTGTAATTCCAATTCCAGGGGCTCCAACACCTTCTTCTGTCCTCTGCAGACACTGCATGACATGGGTGCACTTACATACATTCAGGCAATATGTTCATACACATAAAATTTCTTTTCAAATTTTTTAAAGATAGGAAGAGCCAGTCTTCAACTCACCCTCAACTGCCCACTTACATCAGTCTCTATTCAGTTTTTTTCAAACATTGTGAACACAAAGCAAGGAAAAGGACTATCGTTTCCCTTTAAAAACAGTCATTTGCATCCATTTAATACAACTGTAAATACTCCATCTTAAAAATAAGAAGGTCTCCTTAGCCTTACAGAGTACTTGAAATCTCCTGTCCACTTGTTACTGCATATTTGTGAAGAACAACAGAGCAATCTTCAGAACATACATTGCTTAAAGGTTTTCACACTGCACAAATTTATCAATGACCTCGTTTCTCTCTTAACTCCAACACAGTCAGGTTAAGGGCACAATTTCATGTGCACTTACCCCGCCTCCGAGGTGTCTCTTCCCCGTTTGAAAGCCCACTTGGAGTGGCGTCCTGACCTGCTCCCATGCTCTGGTCTTGCTGCAGCTGCAGCTGTCGAATCATCCCATCTAGAATGTTGGACTCTGGACTTCCTTCTCCACTGTCATTGGTCTGTAGGCTTATAATCTGCTCAATTACCTCTCCGTCACCTACAGGTTCATTCATCAATATGACATCATGATATACAGAAGCAGAAAAATTTAAACATTTCATTAAAATACATCAGTGAGGCTGCGTATGAAGCTCAATGCTCCACTATCTGCTAGTATGCACAAGACCCTGGGTTCTATCACCTTAAGAAAATAGAAAACTACAATTCCTGTTTGTAAGAGGTAACTTATTAGAAGTGCCCTGACACATTAAACATTCCTAAATAATTAAATGAACAAGAGGAAAATAACAAAAAGGCTCCAACCAGACCAGCGGCATTCCAGGAAACGTTTCTATAACCCACTGCCTGGGCAGTTTCTCACGTAGAGAAAGGCAGTGACATTACTTTCTTCTACATTACGCCCGGCCAACATATTCATTTTTACTATGGGAAAACCACTGAAAAACTTACAAGAACTACATGCTATGACCCAGATTAACCAAAAAAAAAAAAAAAAAGAAAAAATTACTTTTGGGTGGGCTGGAGATATGTATGGCTCAGTGGTTAATAGCACTGAATGCTCCTGCATAGGACCCGGGGTTCCATTCCTAGCACCCACATGGCAGCTAACAACCGTTCGTAACTCCAATTCCAGTTACAACCTCTTCTGACATTTGATGGGTGTTGCACACACATGGGTCTACTTACATACATGTACACAAAACACTCATATACATAGAATAGAAAATAAAATGTAAAATTTCAAAGAACCCAGCATGCTGACACAGGAGACAGAGGACAGCCTGGGATACACAGAGCAAATGTTAAGTTTGAGCAAACCATGTTTTGAATATAAAATAAAGTCCTATAAAAGGCAAAAGTCAAGTGGTAGAAAATAGAACAGTTATTATAAGGAGCTAGGAAAAGGGACAGGATTGACTCTAAAAAGGCCCCAAGGACTTCTAACATCTGGTGTCCCAAGTGGTGAAATGTCCTACACATCTTGATTATGGTGGTGGTTGTTGGTACATGGTCAAAACTCATTTTCACTGACTCAGAATTTGTACATTTATTTTGATACAACTAATTTTTAAAAACCATAACATTCTGAATAATAAACACTGACTTTTAACCTTAAATATAAATAGTGATTTAGTTCTAAGAAATCAAATTCTTGTCCAAACAAAACAGCATTATCTTCTTTTCTCTAGTATCTGCAGAGATAAATGCTCTGCTATTAACATGCAATCTTGCACTTGGTTAGGAGAACCTAAGTATAGAACAAGTCCAGGATAACAGTCGATAATTGCTTTGAAATTATGGTGTCCTGAGAAAGGACTGCTTGAAAAGGGTTCTCAGATTCAAATCTGAGTAACAAGATAGCAACACAATGGATTATAATCCACTATGTAACAATATAAGAGCATATAAAAGCACCCAAAACCAGAACACAGGCCTAACAGTGTACATGCAACAATGAGGTTAGAAAGCAAACGCCCTGCCTCATTCATGTTAACAATTTAAAAGGCAAAAACCAACACTGAATCCCAGAAGCTGAGCATTGTGACAAGGAACAGGATAATCACACATGTCCCAGGAAGTATACAAAGAGAAAAACAGTAGCCCTACACTGTAGAACCTTGGCAAGTACAGCCTAACCAAGTGTTAACAGCATTATCTACGACCCAAAAGCACCTGGCACATAAGATTCCAGGAGGACCACACAAGTGTCTTCACCTTGTGCTATGTCAATAAAAACTAAAAAAAAAAAAAAAAAACACCTCATCACCTGGCCCAGCAAGATGGCTCATCATGTAGAAGCATTTGACTTGTAAGCCTGGCCTATTGACTGAGTTTGACTCCTGGATCCCATGGTGGAAGAACAGACTCCCTAAGGTTCTCTTCTGTGGGAAGCATGTTCCCTCATTCACACACAAATCACACACATAATTAAAATACAAACTTTTTTTTTTGGTCTTTTTGAGACAGGATCTCCCTGCAGCCCTGGCATTCACTATGTAGACCAGGGTGGCCTTAAACTTATAGAAATCCGCCTGCCTCTGCCTCCCAAGTGCTGCAATTAAAGGTGTGTGCCACTACGCCTGGCTATTATTTTTATTTTATGTGTACTGCCTGCATGTATGTGAGTGCACCCGTGTTGTGCAATGCAGCGGAGGTTGGAAGAGGGCTTTGGGTTCCCCTAGAACTGGAGTTAAGGACAGTTTGTAGCTGCCATGTGGGTGCTGGGAATCGAACCTGGGTCCTCTCCAAAAGCAGTCAGTGCTCTTAACCGCTGAGCCATCTCTCCTCCAGCCCCAAAATACAAACTTTTTTAAATGCATAAGCTGCCCATAAATCAAGGTGTCCCAGGTGTGGCAGCTCAGACCTTTAATTCTAGCACTCACATGCAGAGGCAGGTGAATTTCTGTGAGATTGAGGCCAGCCTAGTCTACATATCGGGTGCCACACCAGCTGGGGCAGAATTCCAACAGTGCAATCCTGTCTCAAAAAGGCCAAAATATATTTAAATTATATATATAAAATATATATTAAATGTATAATAGACATAAATTATGTTATAGTATTTATGTTTATAGCAGGTACCAAGAACTTAAATAGTAAATAAAAAAAAAATACAAAATATTAATGACTGACGGTGAACTAAAGTATGGCAATTATATTACACTTGAATTTTTTCAGATTTTTTATAACCATTTTTAAAGCATTTACTTTTGTGTGTGCCACAGCATGGGTAAGGAGAGCTGTAGGAGTTACTCTCTCTTTCTACCACGTGGGTCCTGGGGATCAAACTCAGGTCGTCACGCTTAGCAATAAACCCCCTAACCCCATGAGCCATCTCGCGAGCCTTTAAGCACTGGTAAGATGAGTCAGCAGTTAAGAGCACTGACTGCTCTTGCAGAGGACCCAGGTTCAATTCCCAGCACCCACATGGTAGTTAACAACCATCTGTAATTCCAGTTCCAGGAGAATTGGACTACCTCTTCTGACCTCCATGGGCATTGCACAACATGGGTACACTTACATACATGCAGGCAATACACTCATACACATAAAATATAAATTGAAAAAAGAAAAAAAAAACCTTCTGTAAAAGAAAATCACCAGGTACAGTGGTACATACAAGACCAGCATTCCTGCTAAGGTAGGAGGGCAGCTCCAAGTTCGAACTCCAGGCAAGCCAGAGATATAAATCCCGTCTCAAAAAAGAAACAGAGCGCCAGGCACACGCCTTTAATCCCAGTACTCAGGAGGCAGAGGCAGGCGGAGCTCTTTGAGTTCAAGACAAGCCTGGTCTACACAGTGAGTTCCAGGCCCACTAGGGCTACAGAGAGACCTTGCTTCAAAAAGACAAAAAGAAAAAAAAAGAGAGAGAGAGACAACGAGGGGATGAAAACTGCACTTACTTGTGGCAACATAGCCCAGCTGTGGGACCAAATGCTCATCTGCAGAATTTTCTCGACCTGGCACTAATCTCTGATACTTAGTTGGATGAGGATTTCCATCGACATCTACCAAGAACGGTGGTGGCATAAGATGAGGTGCCTGTTGGGTCTGTTCATCTAAGACATAGTTATTGGAGTCTCTAATCAGTGGTCGATAGTCAGTATGAAAAAACATCTGATCTGGAATCTATAAAAAGATCACAGGATGGTATTTGGACATTTATGTACATCAAAGACAACAAGTATTAAAGACACTTCAAATCAGAAGCACAAGGGAATCAAATCACTACAGCTAAACTATTTCCAAACCACCTTTCACAACTATGTATCTTCTATGCTACAAGAAAGCATTAAAAATGACCTTTTCGTATGGTTTGCTGCATCCAAAACCAAATATCAGAAGGTGCCCATGAGAATCTGTACAGGCAAAATGCTGTCCATCCTGTGAAAACTTACAGTCAAACACAGCTCCATGTCCTTGTCCTTCGATCTAGGAAAGTCAGAGGGAAAAATATTAGGCACATTACTCAAGTACTTTTTTTAATATATGTGGACATGTGTATGCTACATGTGTGCAGGTGTCACAAAGGTCAGAACCCCCAGAGCTGGAGTACAGGCAGTTGTGAGCCACCAGATGTGGCTGTTGAGGACCAAGTTTGATTTTTATGGAAGAGCATCTCTCCAGGCCCTGAAGCAGGTATTTTTGCTATACAAACTTCTTTAATGTGGATAACCTTCTATAATATATTACTCTTTCTGGAAGTGTTTTCCCCTAGACATGGGGTTTGCATCCGGGAAGGACGTTGTACATGCCAGGCAAGCATTCCATTACTCAAATTGACCCCAAGCCCCCTAAAAAGAAAATAAACAATCTGGGCTTGGGTGGTGTATACCTCAATCTCATCATTCACAAGGCAAAGGCAAGCAGATCTCTGTGAGTTCAAGGCCAGCCTGATCTACAAAGTGATCTCCAGACCAACCAGGGCTACATACTTAGACTTGCTCTCAAAAAAGCAAAACAACAAAAACAGCAACAAAAAATTAAACACATTTTACATTAGGCAAAATCAATATCAAAATATTCATTTTAGAGCTGGGCACATGCCTTTAATCCCAGCACTCAGGAGGCAGAGGCAGGCAGATCTCTGTTGAGTTCAAGGCCAGCCTGGTCTATACAATGAGTTCCAGGCCAGCTGGGACTAAAGGGAGACCCTCTCTCAAAAGGGGCCAAAAAAACCCATCATTTTAGATAATATTATTCTAAGGAAAGAAAAGTCTTCAAAGGCCTCCTAATTAGTCACACTCCTAAAAAACTAATCCAAAGAAAACACTTTCTTAACTTCTCACAAGCCAATGGGTCACCTCTTTTACGAACTTGTTTCAGTATATAATAAAGGATTGATAACCTACAGGTAAATAATTAAAGATTAAGAAAGTTTGGTATTTGCAAACTAAAACCAAACTTCTGGAATTTAAGGGGAGTCCTACTTCAACTCACCACTGAGATGACTGAAAGGGCACACATGGAAACGCCTATACCCACCTCCCTCCAAACCCCCACAGACTTCAGGAAGGACGCTCTATGTGCGTCAAGTAAAATAGCTTATATGGGACCTTTTAAACTGTTCTCGTCAGCTATAAACTAAGTAATTCAGCAGTATAGCACTATGTACGTTAGTTCTCTAAACCTAATTTTCCAATAATTAAAATTTAAGTATATTCAGTATCAGGAAAAAAATGACTCATACAACCCACTAATTGTCCAAACAAATGCACATCCACGCTCAATTCATGCTGTGCAACAACTGGTACCAGTCACCAAAGAATAAAGAAGTCACTGCAATATTTAGGGTACTGATGACTCAGACCATCTATATATAAACCTGCATATCTCACAACATCCTATGCCTATCAATATGACAAAACATAGAAAACACAGTTCAACCTCATGATCCTTCCAGGAGCCACCCTGGCACAGCAGAGTCTGTCTCTTGTTAGGACTCATGCGTACCTGCCTGAGGGCCTCCAATCATAATAAAATGGAGGAAGTGGGGAGGAGGCAGCAAGGACCTGAGGTGGCAAGGCTCCTATTACACAAATGAACAAACTGCACCAAAAGCTTTCTTAGGGATTCTGTTGAGAAGGAAGATTTCCAGAGCAAGAAAACCAATCTAAGCAAAGCAAATCAAATTTGAATTCTGCCTGGAAATTAAGAATCTCACGCAGTGACCCCTGGTAAGATGCAACCTTCAACGTTCCTAAAGAACAACTCAAAGTCTCATTGTCCTTCCCATATCTCAAGTTTGTTAGTGTTCAGGGAGTCCTGCTAAGTGAATGAAAGGCCTGTCATTCACTAGTACTAAAGAATCAGAAACTAAAGGCTTCTCAACTGAGCAGTACAGTAAGGAGAACTCAGTATACAAAGCCCATTATTCTGTGTTTAGGACCGTATATATCCAAACGTATTCTGCTTAAACACTGAATCAATGTATTTTAGCTGTTAAATTCAAAATATAATACTGTTACTGAGTTACTATAGTATACTTAAAATTTGAATTAATGTAGTTACTTCCATATTATGTTCACGTCAAAAAAAATTTTTTTTTAGTTTTATGTGTATGAGTGTATTGCCTGCATGTATGTGAGTGCACCCGTGTCCTGCAATGCCGTGGAGGTCGGAAGAGGGCTTTGGACTCCCCTGGAACTGGAGTTAATGACAGTTTTTAGCCGTCATGTGGGTGCTGGGAATTGAACCCGGGTCCTCTGCAAGAGCAGTCAGTGCTCTTACCCACTGAGCCATCTCTCCAGCCCCCAAATGTAATTTTTTGTGGTGGGTGTTGAAACAAAAGTCTCACATTACAGCTCAGCCTAAGCTAAAACTCACTATAAATCCAAGCTGGCCCTAAACGTGTAGAAATCCTCCTGCTTAAGCTCTCCCAAATGTTCAAAGTATAGGCATGAGGTACCATGCCTGGCTTAAAATGTAATATCCTTACTCAGTTCTAAATCATAATTGAGATAGGTATGTCTTCTTTTTTTTTTTTTTTAATCTTTTTTGAGACAGGGTCTCCCTGTAGACCCAGCTGGCCAAGCTGGCCTTGAACTCAAGAGATTCACCTGTCTACCTCTGCCAGGATTAAAGGTGTGTGTCACCACGCCTAGCTCTGTATTAAAAACTTTTTAAAGTAAAACTTGGCATGGTGGCATAAACCTATTATCTCGGAAAAGAATCAGAACCTCAAGGCCATCCTAAGCTACCATCTGTAATTCCAGTTCCAGGGTATCAATGCCCTCTTCTGACTTCCAAGGGCATTACACAACGAGGGTACTCTTACATACATGCAGGCAAAACATTCACACACACAAAATGAATGTAATAAAATATTTTAAAACTTACCATATTAAAATAATGTTTCATCTTAGTGCCTTTTGTAATGTCCCATATAAAAATGCTTCCATCATGTCCTGCAGATAGCATAATTCTGGAATCAAAGGGATGTGTCTCCAAAACAAACACTTCATCAGCATGTCCCTTTATTTAACAAAGTCATAATGTTAAGGTCAGTTTGCAAGTTACAGGCAGAACATTTGAAAGAAAAAAAAAAAAAAAAAAAAAAGGCATATTATGTAAGGGCTTTAGAAATGTACTAGTAACAATGTTTATACATGTACCTGAAAATTTCCAGTCACTTGACCATTTAAATGAAACAGTTTATTCATTATATCAATTTCAAAGTTTCAAAGATGAGTAAAAAATTCCAATTTAAAAAGTTTGAAGGTCAAGCCAGGCAAAGTGGCACACGCCTTTAATCCCAGCCCTTGGTAATCCAAGGCCAGTCTGGTCTCCACAGTGAATCCAGGCAGCTGGGGCTACAGGGAGACCCCGTCTCAAAAAAAAAAAAAAAAAAAAAAAAAAAAAGTTCAAGGTCATCCTCGCCTCTATATTAAGTTCAAGGCCAACTTAGGCTAGAGACCTTGTCTTAAACAATAGCAACTACCTACCAGTAAATTATGAAGCAGTTGTCCAGTGTAAGAACTCCATACTTTGAGGACATGATCATTTACAGCAGTGACGACAATGCTATCATTTTGATTCCAAGCTATCATCGTAACTTTGGGTTTCATAAACCTTTCCTCTTCTGAAGACAAGTCTCTAAGAAAACAAAATGAACCTTTGTGTAAACTTATTTGGATGGCAGACCACACAAAGTGCACAGTCCCTTATCAACAGAAGAAATCCCAGGTAGGATGCTGCTCACCTGGTAGTGAGCCTAACATACAGGCAGCCATGAGTTCCATCCCCAGCCCTTCACAAGACCAGACACAGCAGTGAAAGCCTCAAATTTCATCACTAGGGAGGTGGGGGCAGGATCAGGGCCAGCCTGGGCCATGAAACCAAAAAGGAAGGAGGAAGAGAGGAGGAGAGAGCCAATACTTGTGTCTCTGTTATCAACTCCAAACACATTACCTAGAAACAGTTGAGTTTGGCAAAATCAGAGTAGGGGAGAATGTGCAGGCGATATAGACACTGAATGAAGGTGGACTTTAGGACACCACTGCTTCTTAAGAAAACAAAGCTTTTTCTCGTGATTTTTTCTTATTCTCTTCAGCCTAATATATTATTAAAATTTACAGACAAGACAGACATTCCTGGACTACATGAGTGGAAAAGCGAGCTGAGCACTAGCATCCACATGTTCATCCACTGGCTCTCTGCTCCTGACTCTATATATTAATATGACCGGCTACTTTCAAGTTTCTGCCACCGTAACCTGTAAAACAAAACCTTTCTCCCTTAAACTGCTTTTGTCGGGGTTCTTTATCACAGCAACACAAAGGAAACTAAGACAGGACAAATGCTTTGTGCACAGGTATCTACATAAGCAAATGGAACACAGAAAAATCTCAAGCAAAAACATAACATTAAGAGGTATCAAAGTATGCTGGGGCTGGAGATGGCTCAGCAGTTAAGAGCACTGGCTGCTCTTACAGAGGACCCGGGTTTGGTTCCCAGAACCCACATGATAGCTAACAACCATCCATAACTCCAGTTCCATGGGATTCGACATCTCTTCTGACCTCCGTGGGAACAGCATGACACAGGTACACTTACACACATGCAGGCAATACACTCATACAAGAAAATTTAAAAAATAAAATTTTAAAAAATTTTTTAAAAAGAAAGTACGCTTTTCAAAACCTTTTGTTTTGGGGTGAGGGGAAGCAAGGAGGGATACAACAGGATCTCACTATAGCCTTGGCTGACCTAGAACTCATAAGAGATCTGCCGGCCTCTGCCTCCTGAGTATTGGAATTAAAAGCATGCAAACCAGACCCAGGTTTCAAAGACATTTTATAAACCAAAATCTTTGCATGCAGAATTGCCACTGGGGCCCCAATTTTTTAATTTAACGATAACTTGTATTTGCTTATTTTATTCTCCAAGTCTTAGCTCCAAGATACCTTTTATTTAATTCCAAAAGATCAGCTAGGTAAGAATGGCAAAATACAATTTTCTTTTCTTTTTTCAGTTAAAATATTTTATTATTTTTATTTTATGTGTATGCATAAAATGTGTATGCCTGCGTGTAGTAAGTGCACCCATGTCATGCAATGCCCTCGGAGGACAGAAGAGGCTGTCAGATTCCCTGGAACTGGAGTTATGAACAGCTGTTAGCTGCCAAGTGGGTGCTGGGATTCAAACCCGGATCTTCTGCAAGAACAACCAGTGTTCTTAACTCAGTGAGCCATCTCTCCAGCCCCAAAATACAATTTTCTAACCAAGCATGGTAGCACATGTCTTTAGTCCCGTACTCAGGAGGCAGACACAGGTAGATCTCTGCATGGCCAGCCTGATCTATATAGTGAATTCCAGGTCAGCTGGGGCTACAGGGAGACCATGTCTCAAAAAAAAAGAGCAACTCTGGGTACTGTGATGGTTCCATAACCACCTGGGAAGAGAACGTCGGTTAGGGGATCTCTAGATCAGGCTGCCCTGTGGATGTGTGGGGAGGAGTGTCTTTTCTTTTGTGTGTGTGTGTCTTTTTGAGATAGGGTCTCCCTGTAGTCCCAGCTGTCATAGAAAGCCCAGTGGGGGAACTGTCTTAATTACGTTAATAGAGGTGGCAAGCACTGCCCACTGTGGGTGGCACATTCCCTACTTGGGGTCCTGAGCTGCTAAGTGTAGAGGGTGCTGGGCACAAGCACACACACACTCTCTCTGCTCTTGACTGTGGGTGTGACTGGACCTGCCGTGACCTCCCCACCATGATGGACTGTAAGCTGGAACCATGAGCCAAATAAATACTTTCTCCTCTAGTTGTCTTTAGTCAGGATAGTTTACGAAAGCAATAGAAACTTAATTAGGACAGAAATATAACAAATTTGTAGCCAGACATGGTGGCACATACCTTTAATCTCAGCACCCGAAAGACAGAGGCAGCTGGCTCTCTCTGAGATCAAGGCCAGCCTGGTCTACATAGCAAGTTCCAGGCCAGCTGGGGCTGCAGGGAGACCCTATCTCAAAAAAAAAAAAAAAAAATTGAGGCCAGGTAGGGTAGGAAGGTAGGAGGGTAAGGAATTCCAGGCCAACCTTGGCTACATAATGAATTGAGCACCAACCTGGACAAGAGGCTCTGCGTCAAAAAAAAAAAAAGGGGGTGGGGGTGGCCTGGAAAGATGGATGAGCAGTTAAGAATGCTTGCTTTGCTAGTAGTGGGCTCGAGTTCAGTTCCCAGTACCCACCAACATGGGGTGGGACTGGATGCAGTCTTCTGGCCTCTGCAGGCACACACATGCAAACTCATACACAAACACAAACACACATAAATAAAAATAAATGTTAAAGAAAAGTCCTATCTTTGGAAAAGAAAAATTGCCTCATTTTACAGACTTGGTTTCTTGGTTTGTTTCTTTTTCTTCAAACTATAGGTTTTAAATGCAATCCTAAAAACATCAATGCAACAGAAGTCCACAGTAAAGGTACTTCTGTCAACTTGCTTGAAGGCCACTTCTGTATGTACTGTGATGACATCTCTATAGACAAGTAGATCATGAGGACTTTGACCTCATCAATGGGTTAACCACACGACAGGATCACAGCATGGCATTATTAGGGGGTGCTCAAGGGGAGAAGGTGGGTCTACTGGAGGCAGTAGGTCACTGGGTACATATTCTTGGGGTCTATCTCCTGCCCTAGACTCTTCCCTTTGTTTTCCTGTTCTCTACTTCCTGACCGTCATAATACAAACTGCTCTGCTCAACTACATTCTCCAAACCACAATGTTAAAACCTCTAAAAGAACCAGAATAAATCCTTTATGCTTTTTTTCTAGCAAATTTGGTGACAGAAGTGACATTAATTTGGGCATATGAGAATGAAGTATCTATCAATATACAACATGCCAATTCACTTAGAAATAGCTCTTCATAGTGTACAACAAATGGCTAGAATCTTCCCAACATTTAACACTAGAGGGGACACACCTACGACTCACCACCTCTGTCTAACAATTTCAAGAACTTACCCTGAGATTCTGGTAGTCATATCCAATAAAATGCTTCTCCATTCTAACTGCTCAAATCTCCAAATTCGTGCTGTTCCATCTCTGCTACCACTGAGGAACCTTAAAATAGCCATGAAAAAAGATCTCTAGTCACATGGCTGCCAGTAAATTAAAATCAAGTGAAATAAAAAACTGAATGTAGATATCCTGATGACAAGCAAATCTACAGGTATTAATGCAAAGGACGATTAGTCAGGGGCTTATCTAGACAATAAAACAAGGTTTACTTTTGTTTGCCTGGCCATACAAAATAGAACACACTGCAAACTCAATCAGTAGTTTCTCAAACAGACTGAGTTTTGAGAAGACAAGGTAATGAAGTACCTGGAGAAAGGAAAAAATAGGAAAAATTAAAGACATGGGAAATTGAGTAACAGCAAAACTCCATGTTGAGCACAATTAGTTTTACTAATTTATAATAGATACTGTAAAAATATAATCTATCAAGGGCTGGAGAAATGGCTCAGCAGTTCAGAGCAGTGGCTGCTCCTGCAGAGGATCCAGGTTAGATTCCCAACACGCACATAGTGGCTCACAAATGCCCTTAACTCTAGTTCCAGGGAATCCAATGCCCTCTTCTGGCCTCCGTGGGCACTGCATACATGGTACGTGTACTTAAACACATGCAGGCAAAACACTCCTATACATAAAAATAAATCCAAAAAATTTTAGTATAATCTATTAAAAAACAGAGGTCTGGGGCTGGAGAGATGGCTCAGTGGTTAAGAACACTGACTGTTCTTGCAGAAGATCTGGGTTCGAATCCCAGCACCCACATGGCAGCTAACAACTTGTCTGTAACTCCAGTTCCAGGGGATCCAACTGCCTCTTCTGTCCTCCTTGGGCATTGCACAACACTGGTGCACTTACCTACATGGAGGCATAACACTCATACACATAAAATAAAAATAAAAAATAAATTAAAAAATTGAGGTTTAAAACTACACTTTAGGAAAAGTACCAGTCACACCCAGAGGCAGAAAGGAGACTACGATCTGGGTTCTATTTCCTTGTACTACATCATGACAGGGATTTTTTTAAAGACCATTTTAAGCTACTTAGAAAAAAATTTGTCATTCTTTCACTTAAAACTTCTTTCAGTAACCAACCTTCTAGCAAGAACTATCCTTGATCCCACATGTCAGGCAACAATTCTAAAATCTGAAATATCATGCCACTGCCTACTCAATTAGCATATCCAGTAATAAGCACTTGCAACAAAGGGCTAACAGTGAAGAGTGATGTGTTATATATTTCAAGATTGCTGAGAACAGATTTTAAGTATCAGAAAAAACAAAGATGAGCTGACATCATGACTTGGTGGTAGAACACTTTCTTACCATGCACAAGGCCCTGGGTTCAATCCCAGGGACTACCCAAAAAACAAAACAAAACAAAACAACAGAAAGTTAGTAGTGTGATAGACATGTTACTTAGATTGAGTTCATCATCGGTCCACGGTGAGAATGTATAAAGTATTATATTCAACAAATAAAATTAAAAAGAATATGAAATGGTAAAGTAATTATTTGCTGAGTAATAACTACTCAGTTATGAGAAGTGAGTAATGCATTCTATTCTCCTAAAACTTAACACAAATGCAATCACACACTTACCGGTCACCATTGTTACAAAACTGGATACTATCAACTTTGTCCTAGGGGAGAAAAAGCACATATGAAAGTGATTATCTACATTACTTCATAGACTAAACCCAGCAAGTCTGTATGCTAAGAAATTCATCTGGTTTAACAAGAGATCTGCTCAGCCCCATCACCCTACGGGCACTATGATCTTCAGGAGTAACCCCAGGGATCTACCAAGATTACAAACACAGTTTCAAGAAAACCATATTCAGTACAAAAAAAGATGTACATTCAAAACTATAACTGTATTTAAAATTATATCCCTGTGAAATGACTTCTGTGAGAGCCGGTGAAATGGTGCATGAGATGGTGCAGCAGGTAAAGTCACTTGCTGCCAAGCATGATGACTTGACTTCAATCCCTAGAACCCACATGGTGGGAAACAACTACCCCAAGCTGTCCTCTGACCTCCCCAGGCGAGTCTTGTGCAAATGCTCACACACCTACAAGAACATATAAAAAAATAAATATAACTTTTAAATAAATGACTTATGTGGGAAGGTAAATAGACTCAACAAGCTTAAAGGAAGAGCTATCATTTCACTGTTGACTTATTACAAAAAGTTTTTTTAGCATAATTTAAATCTGTGCTTATTAAATAAGCTCTGAATGTAGACTGCTTTCCATAAACCCTTACTATGTGTATGACCATGTGGCACATGTACATATGCATGTGAAGGCCAGAGGCAGACATCAGCTGTCTTCCTCTATCAATCTCAATTTTAGATTAGTTTTGACAGTGTCACCCTAGTCCCAGCCCACCTGGAAGTCACAATGTAGACCAGGTGGCCTCCATCTCAGAGCTCCACCTGCCTTTGCCTCTTGAGGGCTGGGGTTAAAGGCGGGCACCATCACACTTGGCATTCCATCTTAAATTTTGAGTCAGTGTCTTTCACTGAACCTGGAGCTCCACAGACTGACTAGCCAAAGAGCTCTAGGGCTGTCTCTATATCAGGGTTGAGGTTACAGCTGGGGTCTGAAGTTGTGTCATCCTATTTTCATGGCAAGCACTGTACCCAATGAGCCATCTTCCCAGGGCATCTAAAACCTATAAAAGACAAACTGAGCCAGGTGTGGTGGCGCACGCCTTTAATCCCAGCACTTAGGAGGCAGAGGTAGCCCAGCCTGGTCTACATAGCGAGTTCTAGGACAGCTGGGGCTACAGGGACACCCTGTTTCAAAAAAGACCAAAAAAAAAAAAAAAGACAATCTGACCCTTACAAACATTCTAGAACACAAACAGCTACCACTACTCATTCATGTCACTATTCATAGCACTATCCCTTCACAAGTAGCATTCTACTTCAGGAACTCGGTTAGAACAAGTAGATTCATTTGAATCTAAACCACCAGGTCAAGTGCCATAATCAAGCTAAGTTATCACTAAGATGCATCACCACCACTCAGCTGAGTTGTCAAGGCTGTATCCCTCCATTTATATGCAATTCCCACTATGTGTAAGCTGGGTACAGAATAAGTAAAAAGCATCCTGCACCTCAACATTTCCATTTTCTTTTATGGTCAAAGTTTCTTGTTTTGGCTGTGTGTGTGTGTGTGTGTGTGTGTGTGTGTATGTGTGTACACACAAGTGTATTTAGTCTGCATGTATGTTAGTGCACCCAGTTCATGCAATGCCTCGGAGCTCAGAAGAAGGCATCGGATTCCCCTGGAACTGGAATGAAGGACGCTTCTTAACTGCCATTTGGGAACTGGGACTCAAACCCGGGTCCTCTGCAAGAGCAGTCAGTGCTCTTAACCGCTGACCCATCTCTCCAGCCCCTTGTTTTGGCTTTTTGAGGCCACACTAGCCTCAAGCTAGTTCACTCTATAATCAAGGATAACCCTAAATAGATACTACTACTGCCTCCAGCTCCCAGTGCTAGAATTACAGGTTCAGGAGGCTATACCCAGCTTCATGTTTATAAGTGAAGAAAACTCTCTAGAGTTTAATTGTTCTAATTTGGTCAGTGTAATTCAGCAAAAATTTGTAAGAATATCATACTCAGGGCTGGAGGTGTAGCTCAGGAGTAAAGCACTTGCCTAGCATATAAGCAGCCCTGGGTTCAAACCCCAGCACTGGAAAGAAGATAGAAGGCCTTTAGTCCTAGCACTCAGGAGGCAAAGGCAGACAGATCTCTGTGAGCTCGAGGTCAGCCAGTCTTCATAGCAAGTTCCAGGCTGGCCGCGGCTACAGGAAAAACCAAAAAGTAAAAGAAAAGAGGCAACAATAACTTCACGTTTCAAACTGTAACCACTGTCAGATGTCTTTAAAAAATAAGTAAGGGAGATGGAGAGATGGCTCAGCAGTTAAGAACACTGGTTATCCTTACAGAAGACCCAGGTTCGAATCCCAGCACCCACACTGAAGCTAACAGGCATTGCACGACATGAGTGCACTTAACCTACGTGCAGGCAATATACGAATACACAGAAAATGTTTTAAAAATTAAATTTAAAAAAAAAGGGTGAAGCTAGACAGATGGCTAGAGCAGTTAAGAGCTCTCAGAAGTCCCCAGCACCCATGCAGGGTGGCTCACAACCACCTGGACATCAGATTCCTTTATTGTGGCGACACCTTGATATGCATATATACAAAAAAAAAAACATCAAACAGTAAATGGAGCAAAGTGGCACACCCCTATGATGTGCATTCAGTAACCTGAAGCAAGAGAATGAGAGTCTGAGACTAACATGAACTATACCGGGAGACATGGCCTTATAAAGCCAAATTAGGAAAAAATATAAAAAATAAAATCAATCTGTTAAACAGGAGCAGAAAAAAACTAAAATAAAAGTTAAACTAGAACTGCAACAACTGTCCTTAACAGTAATAGGATTAACGAATGTGTAGAATTTTAAAAATGAACACTTACAGTGTGGCTCTCAAGTTCTGCAATTTTTTCGGGTGCTTCAAAACCCAAAAAATACATTCGGATTACATGATCAGTACTACCCGTAGCTAGGAACATACCACCTGAAACAGAAAGGTTAGAGCTTGAATGTCTCATTTGTAACAAATACATGGACAAAGTAAAATTCTGTAAATGCAGAAAAAGAAAGATCTCGTACTCCAAAATGAGGTATATCTCAATAGATCCAATATCTAGCTCATGACATAAGCTTATAAAACTGATGAGGAACAAAGTTGACTCAACTGAGAAATGTTTACCATCTCACTGGGCTTTTACTAGGTGCAGCAAGGAAGTGTCACACAGTAAGTGTCAGTGTTCTACAACCTGGACAAGACAGACGTTGCTTTATAAACAGCCTGCCCACCAAATATCGCATTTTCAAAAGCAAAGCTCAGTGTGACAGTCCCACCTTTCTCAGGGTGATGTCTTGGCCTCTTCCAAGAATCCTACCAACAAGTTCATCATACAAGAAAAAGGGGAATAACTTCACTGAAACACTTCATAGAAGACAGATGCAAACAACAGATAGCTAGGCAGTTAAATGAAGTTTTGGCATATCCTGCACATGGTGCATCATGAGAACAGCTCACATGGACTTTGTGAGCCTCCTTGTCAGCAATTATTTATCACTGACTCAGAATACTCTGAGGAGTCCAAGAGGGCAAAAGAAGTAGGTGGACATATGAAAAGACTAAGATGAACTCCGTGGTGACGCCCTTTACAAGCACACATCCATTCTCCAATGTCAGACCTGGTCGCAGGTTTTTCTCTCCTTCAAACCTAGTACTGAAAAATCTGTATTACAATCTCTTGCTAAACTCCAAAAATCATTATCACAAATTAAAACTAATAAAAAAGAAGAACAGAAGGCATGTAGCACTTATCTGATAAGGGTTCTTCATACTAATGGGGTGATAAGAGTAAATGCTAAAATGAAACTAAGGAAAAAATGACCCAAAGCATTATCTTACCAACACTAAAAGAAGAGCACAGCATTTGAACGCCTGGCCGAGGCTTTTCCGTGAACTTCAAGGGGCGTGGACTTTAAAAAGAAGACAAGGCTTTAGAATACATGTCAACACATCTGAAATACTTGGGTTTCATATTTATTACTCTGTGTGTATGATGTGTGCATGTGGGTGTACACATGCCATGGGAGCATCCAAGGAAGCCAGAGGACAACTTTCAGGGGTTTGTCTCTGCTTCTACCTTGGGATTCAGGGCTCGAACTCAGGTTATCAGGTGTACACAGCAAGTGCTTTTACCTGGTAAGCAATCTCCATGGCCCTAAGGTAATGGTTTTAATCTATCATATTTAAACATTATGAGTCTTGGGCTCAGGATATACCTTAATTGGTAGAGTGCATGGCTAAAATGGACAAAGCTCTGGGTTTGATCCCCAGGACCATATAAATGGAGCACAACTATAACCCTAGCATTAGGGGAGCAGAAGCAGAGGACCAGAAGTTCTGCAGGACCAGAAGTTCAAGGTCATGCTTAAGTTACATAGCAAGTTGGAGGCCAACCTGAGCTACATGAGACCATGTTCAATCAATCATAGTTTTAGCCAAGCATGGTGGTACATGCCTATAATCTTAGTCAAGAGGATGAGGCAGGAAGATCATGAGCTAAGAAGGCCAGCCTGGGCTACATAGGGAGAGTACCTCAAACGGATAAGTATATAGATTTTGGTCTTACTCCTATAGTACCTTATAAAAAAACAAGTTTCTATAATACGCTATTTTATGTAAATTTATTTTAAATGACGCAATCCAATTCCAACTTTTATACATATCCTATTACATTAAAAGAACAAGTCTCTTGGGCTGAAGAGATGGCTCAGTGGTTAAGAGCATTGTCTGCTCTTGCAGACAATGAGTATCTGGGTTCAGTTCCCAGCATCCACATAGTGGCTAACAGCTACCTATAACTCTTCTGGCCTCCTCAGGCACTGGACACAGAGGTGCACTTACATATATGCATACCAAATACTCATACACATAAAAATTAAAACTTTAACAAATAAAAAATAATTAAGAAAAAAAAATCAAGAACAAGCCTCTTAATCCCATTTTAAAGTTTTCCATTAGAAAATATGGGCCTAGAGCTGGGTATGGTGGCACACACCTTAAATCCCAGCACTTGGGAGGCAAAGGCAGGTGGATCTCTGTGAGTTAGAGGCCAGTCTGATCTACATAGTGAGTTCCAGGCCAGCTGGGGCTACAGGAGACCCTGTCTCAAAAAGACACACACAAAAAAAAAATTTTTTTAATTTAAAAAAAAAAATTTAAGAGGCTGGAGAGATGGCTCAGCAGTTAAGAGCACTGACTGCTCTTGCAGAGGACCCGGGTTCGATTCCCAGCACCCACATGGAAGCTACTAACCATCCTTAACTCCAGTTCCAGGGGAATCCGAAGCCGCCTTCTGATCTCCACGGCATTGCACGACACAGGTGCACTCACATACAAATAATAAATAAATTTTTTTTTAATTTTAAAAAAATTAAGTTCAGAAAAGGCAACACGGCAGGTTAATTTCTCTTTACAATCAAACCTGTCATTAGACTAAGTCACCTTACACTAAAGAGAACTTGTTGCATAAGGCCACTTACCTGAATTTCAGGGATTCTAAATCCCACTGCCAAAAGCATACGGTCCCATCAGCACCAGTGGAAACCATGTATCTTTGAGGGCCTTTGGCCATCGGGCTAAACTAAAAATGAATTAACATAAAAATCACTTTCCAGAGTTTCATCTTAGGTTACAGTGTAAGGTTTCCCAGGTTAACGTCAACTGACATGCTAAGAAAGTAAAACACACATGAAAACTATGGGTGACACCTATACAGTAAAAATATAACACTGTATTAACTCACACAGGTGTTTCTGACAAGTACTCTTCAAAACAAATGAACTAGAAAAACTTTTACCAAGTCACAATCGAGTTTTAGGACACTGAAGCATGCCAGAGCCTTCATAGTTCACACTATTCAGGAAAACGAGCATGATGAGAGGATGACCCAAGAAAAACAGAACATAAAGGTGCTTTTATTTTGTATTCAGGTTGGCCTGGAATTCACAATGTAGACCAAACTGGCCTGGATCTCAGAGAGCCTGCCTCTGCCTCCAGAGCACCAAGATTAAATGCATACCGCCTGCCCAACAGCCACTGATTTCTTAAGATTCAGCTACTTATTTCAGCCCCAGAGTCTCCTTCTATATTGGACCACTGATGGAGTATTTATGCTCATTTTAATCTGTAAAGTCAAGCAAATAGTTCGAACACAGGTGAGGTTCATCCACCGCCTGACCTTGAGTCTCCTCTGCCAGCTTACCTCTTCTTTTCTCTTTGTTGGTCAGGTCTGTCTCCTTTTTTAAATGCTCTCTGTACTTTTTCTTCCATATTCTTTTCTTTTTTGGCCTTATGTTTGGTTGTCTCCTAGTAGCTTGCACTCCTAGTCTGCACCTAGACCAAAGACCCACCAACTCCAGAAGCGGTAAGAAAACCTGAATTCTGGCTGCTCCTAGGTGGAAACTCCCTTAACCACCTATTTGTAAGACTTCAGATAAGCATCCTAGTCAGCCCCTTTCAAACTAGAAAATGCGTCCTGACACAAGGTCTCTCCGGGTCTCCTCATTTATCTCAGCTTGACAACCTAATTTCCCATTATAAAGGTATCTCAGCTTTTTTATCTCTATGCTCAAAAAGTCAATCTAGCCATGGAGCTGGAGAGATGGCATAGTGGTTAAGAGCACTGGCTGCTCTTGCAGATGGGTTTGGTTTCCAGCACCCACATGGCAGCAAACAGCTGTTTAACTCCAGTTCGAGGGCATTCAACCCCCTCTTCTGACCTCTACAGGCATTGCATGGCATGGATGCACTTACATATATACAGGCAATATATACATATACAAAAAAATAAGTATTTAAAGAGTCAATCTAGCCATGTACAGAGGCACACACCTTTAATAACAGCATTTCAAGAGGCAGAGGCAGGGGATCAGCCTGTCTACACAGTTAATTCTAGGCCAGCTGGGGGTCAGCCTGTCTACACAGTTAATTCTAGGCCAGCTGGGGCTACAGAAAGGCCCCATCTCAAAAAACCACACACAAAAAAGTAAGTCTATTTGGAGCCTTGCATTCCTAGAGAATGTTCACTGGCTAATCTTTCAGACAAAAAAAAAAAAAGGCTCTAAGGCTGGTGGTAAGTGACTACTCCTTATTACTATGCTATCCTTGAGAAGGTTCATACTAAAATATTAAGTCATTTCCTAAATAAGAGAGAAAGTTGTTAAGCATGATGGCGCTTGTCTTTAATCCCAATACTTTGGAGGCAGGAGGATATCTGAGATGGAGGCCAGACTGATCTACACAGCAGGAAAGGAAGGAGGACGGGAAGCAGGGAGGGATGGGAGAAGAACAGGAAACAGGGAGGGATGGGGAGAGGGAGGCGTTTTAGTTTATGGGGGTTTTTTTGTGTGTATGTGTGTGTGTGTTTTTGTCTTTTTGAGACAGGGTCTCCCTGTAGCCCCAGATGTCCTGGAACTCACCATGTAGACCAGGCTGGCCTTGAACTCACAGAGATCCGTCTGCCTCTGCCTCCCGAGTGCTGGGATTACAGGTGTGCACCACCATGCCCGGCTGTGATTTATTTTTTATGTCCATGTGAGGGTACCTATGTGTGCCTAGTGCCTTTGGGAGGCCAGACAAGGGCATTAGCTCCCCTGGAACTGGAGTTACAGGTAGTTGTGAGCTGCCTGATGTGGGTGCTGGGAACCAAACCTGGGTTCCCTGCAATAGCAACAACTGCCCTTAGCCATCCAGCCATCTCTCTCCAGCCCCAATTTCTCTGGTGTCTATGTCTGTGTCTGTGTCTGTGTGTGTGTGTGTGTATGGACACAGGTGGAGGTCAGACGACAACATGCAGGAATGGGTTCTCTCCTTCTACCATGTGGATCCCAGAGACCCAACTCAGGTCACTGGGCTTAGTGGCACACACCTTTACACTGTACTATCTCTCTAGTCCCAAAATCACTTCAAGCTTATATTTTTGAAGATACAGAACAGAATCACAAAGCCACCTTTTATCACAGAATTTCACACTAAGTCTATTTAAAAATCACTAACATGCAACCTAGGAGAACTCAAGTGTGAGAATGGAACTATCTCTGTATTTTTAACCAGATTCAAGTCCGAGACAGCAACATGCCATTAAAATCTTACAAATCTAACAAAATGAAATTTAAAAACAACAACACAGAATAGCACCATTTCCAGTCCCTAGATGCCAATGAGCACCAGGCAGTGATCAATGCATGAACATAGACTACAGCTGTGCTGTGCCTTCTGACACAAGAGGACATTCCGTCTGACAGATCCTCAAGGGACCAACAGTATCAGAAACTTTCACTATAAATAGGAACTTTTAAACCCCACTCCAAACATACTAAATCGTAATTCACAGAGTCACAGCCACACATGGTACCTGAGGCAAGTCCTCCAGGTCCTCTTCATGCACAGCAGAGAGAGCTACTGCTCTGAACCTAACAAGCAACTCAACAGAAATGCAAAGGAACATGTGAACCTACACAGGCTGCAACTGTAACATCCAAACACAGAGACCATGAATGACAGCCTAGGTTCCTCCAACCAAGAAAACTAGGCTACAAGGTAATGGTTGGAAATTAATGGTTTAAATTTCTCTTAGTCTATAGCAACAAACTGAAAGGTGCAGGCTGTTTTCTTCCCAATTCAAACTACTAAATAAAATTATGCCATTTATAGACAACTGAAAACTTTTAACATTAACGAATGGTGTGATAACAGTTTCATGTTGCATTTTTAAAGGGAATCTTTGTGTTTCGAAATTACAAATTGTAGTACTTCAGAAAAAGTGGCATCGAAGAATTTGCTTTAGCTACAAAGGTTAGGGAAGAAATGGCCAGTTATTGACAGATCTATACGGACCCATTATCTACTCTGTATGTTGAAAATTATCCTTATTGTGGGGAGATTATCAAATTTAATCAGCTCCACAAAATCCAAAAGTTTTAAACAGAAAAATAACCTACCAGCAGTTTGACAGACACCCTACCAACCAGAGGAAAGCCTACCCCTCGGTTCACTGCATTATTCTTCCATAGTTTATGTAAGTACAAATGATTACCTTTTCTCTGGAATACACTCAAGTTTAAAATACATCATATACAGACTGGAGAGATGGCTCAGGAGTTAAGAGCACTGCTTACAGAGGACCCAAGTTCGGTTCCCAGCACCCACACTGCATTTAACCATTGTCCGTAACTCTAACTCCAGTGGATCTGACATCCTCTTCTGGCTTTTGTGGGCAGTGCATGATACCAGTGCATTTACACACATGCAAGCAAAACACTCATACACATAAAATAAAAATAAAATACATCATATAATCACACCATCTTACTACATATCAATTCCAAGGAAAAGCTTTAAAAGAAAAGGCAAAGTACACCATCTGCCCAGGAAGCCAAAGGTTTACCTGTAAAGACGTGATCGATCCCGTGTGTCCTTGCAGCACAGCAACTGGGGCGCACGTCCTCAAGCACCACACCCGGATGATCTTATCACAGCTCCCTGCAGCAATCATCGTGTTCTCGTAGTTTACTGCCATGTCTGAAATTTCTGCAGAATGACCCCTTAACGTGGACAAGAGGCGGCCATTATATGTTGACCAAATCTTCACCAAACAATCATCTGAACCCTAAAAAAGCAATGCCCAAATATGAATGTTAGAATGTCCTTTGAGTTAAAAGAACAGTTTATATACCACCCAAATTAACTACTAACTCCTCCCTCTTTCCAGCAAAACAATTATTGTTATGGTCAGAACTCATGAAATAGTATTTTTCTTCAAAGCAAAGAAAGCCTACGTAAAATGTTATCTATTAGGTCACATCATCATCTAAATACTATTTTTCCAAAATTCTCTGACTAAAAATAGTCCAACTCTAAGTTCCTGCTCCACAGTATCAACTAACAAAGACTCAATGTTAATTTAGTTCACCGAGCTAAAAACTGGGTGTTGCCGGGAGTGGTGGCGCACGCCTTTGATCCCAGCACTCGGGAGATGGAGGCAGGCGGATATCTGTGAGTTCAAGGCCAGCCTGGTCTACATAGTGAGTTCCAGGAAAGCTGGGGCTATAGGGAGACCCTGTCTCAAAAAGACAAAATAATAATAATAATAATAATAATAATAATAATAATTCAGCAACATTAAAACAACAAAAAAAAACTGGGTGTTGGCTGAAAAGCAAGACTGTGTACTGGTCCCAGAAACTACTGAAAGGTAATGAGGAAAACAGCCTCATTTCAAAGGAGCAACTCAGACTCTCAGATTTACACTATTAGCCAGCACTCTTCAACACAGTTTCCTAAGTGCTCCATCTCCTGAGAAATCAAACTGATCACCTATTTTTTCCCCTTAGGAATAATGAAGAGGTTACAGTCCAAGTATTTCTATATAGTTTTCTAATAATTACTTAAACACAGAGGTTATTTTATAATGAATGCATTTTCTTCAATCAGTGAGTAATCGATGTAAAAGTAATCTCTAATGATCTGGGGGTTTTGCAATTTTTTGATTAATACACACTTAAGATTAAATCTGACCTAAGTTAATTCCTTAAGCACAGAATGGGTTAGAAGAGGAAGTTTCAGCTACGTTATGTACTTTTTTTTTTGAGAAAAAGTCTCAACTCGATGTGTGGCAGAGGCTGGCCTTGAACTCCTGACCTTTCTGTCTCCACCACCCAAGTACATAAACCTATTTTTATGCATCCTTAAGAATGTTTCAGAACCACTACTCTCAAAGCAGCCCATCCCGACTCTGCTGCTCAGTCACTTAAGTTCATATTCACACTACAAGCGCATGGAGCCCACACCAGACCGACACAGTCAGAACCGGAGGATGGGATGCACAGGATCTACGTGCTCCTGATTCCCTAGATGACTCTGAAGCACACTGCTGCGCTCTGTATGGAACCAAATTGAGTTTAAAACATTAACTCACTGTAAAGATTCTATGTCCTGTCCTATCAAACGCTACACAGTAAACAGCAGACAGATGTCCCAGAATCCTTCTGTGCATTTTTATATGCTGATACATAGTTCCTGGAAATGCTGTGCTAAAAGTGGAACACCCTGTGAGTTGTTTTCCTCGATGTATCTCCACTAGGAAATAAAAACAACGAAAATAGTTAAGGGGGAGCCAGTATGTTAAAAGTAAAAAAAAAAAAACAAAAAACCTAAGAAAACTTCCAAAGCAATTTCTAGAGGGTAATAAAACCCGTTGAAATATCTGAAAGACCCAAGAAGTTTCATCCTAATTCCACTGTACCAGAACTACTAATTTTTTACTATGACTGTTTTCATTTAATTTCAATCATTTTAAGAAAACAAGAAATATGAAATGTGGTTACTTTATTTCTATTGAAGTAGTAACACTGTACCAGAACTTCCTTCTGAATTTAACATAGCATTTATGAGTTGTCAAGAACTTAAAATAGTTTGGACCCCTCAGAGGCTGACCTCACTTACCGAGATTTGGTGGGGAACCATAATTCACTGGCATTTCAGGAGGTCTTCCTCTGTGAAGAGCGGCAAAGGCAGAGCCCTTCCACACTGTGTGCCTGCAGTCTTTAAAATGAATTTTAGATACACATAAAATCTTGAAAGTTAACCCAAAGGAAGATTTTATAGAATACTTACGTACATTGTAATAAACTGTTTATTCAAAGTTTTACCAACTAATATACTTTAACAGAAAAGCCCTGGAGGTTTATTAGACTATTTCTGAAGGGGAAAAACTTAAGACATCTCAGATACAGCAGCAGTAACAGCTAACATTTGTATGGCACTTTACAATTCACCAAGTGCTCTCCACATACATCATCTCATTGAACCCTCACAACAACCCTGTGAGGTAGGTGTTTTTGCCAATTTACAAGTGAGGTAACTGAGGCTCAAAGGTTCCAGGACCTTTAAAGAGATCCACTGCAAATGATTAGTAAAGATGGACTAGATGCCAAATACGTGTTTATTTTTCAATGCAGAACACCATACAATATTAAAGATAAACAATCTTCATCACAACTGACCCAATTTTTCAAAAATGGAAACTTTTCAGAAGAAATTTTTAATTTCTTTGATGTATATAAAAATCCTTGACTTAACTTATTCAGTTTGAAAATCCATTTGGCCAGTACTAGCATGACTTCACCTCCTTAGAAAGTACGGGCAAGTTCAACAGCCGTCCCCTTTTAGGTCAACACAGCCCTTCACAGCAGAGCGGGTAGATCTGTGAGTGAGCACTGTTTCTAAAGCCCTACACCACCCCCCACCCCTCCACCCCCCACTGATCTACAAGCAAACGCACTAAGGAAAACACGCCTGCTTCCCCATAGGCGATGAAGCAGACCTCATGCTGCACTAGAAATTAGCTTCTTCACAACTGCAAGATGAAGGGAGCGAAGGCAGCACACGAACCACTGAGCCTCGGGTGCCCCAAACTAGCAGGCATGCCACATTTTACACAGATCAGGTATTACCACTATCATGACCAGAGAGCAGTACAAGGCGTCCTTCCTCATGGTGCCAGTACACAACAAATACAGACAGGCCCCAAGCTGTGGCTGCTTGCTAAAGTCTCTTCTAAAGCCTGCCAGTTCTAACAGTGCTCACCACAAAACAACATTGAGCTTGACACACACAGAAAAGCAAAACATGCTACCCAAACAACTACTGTACAACCACCAACAATAGAATAATTACAGAGTGAGCGGGGGCACGGAAGGAGGGGCATGAACAGTTTCCTGATTCGACCTCGGTGGGGCAAGGCTACAGGGTACTAAGAACAGCTATGGCCAGCAAGCTAGTTTGGCATGGAGCCAAGACTAGAAAGGGGTTGTTCTTTCTCAGGCAAGCTTTGTACTGGTGAACATCTAAGAGGAAGCGTCACATCCACAACAGCTTGGAACAAGATGATCACGATGAACTTGATATACTAAGGATCAGTACCAACAAACTTGGCCATTAGCAGTTTAGCAACATGTACATAGATCATATCACATACATGTACTTAGTCTAAGTCATTTATACGAAGCTAACAGAAAAAGAACAGCAATTCCAAACATTTTGCTAGCACATAACTTTGCAAAAAATTGTTAGTCCCAAAAAAAAAAAAAACAAAAAAAAAAAA